GGCTACTGAGCATCTAAAGATAAATTTAAGGAAGCCTTAAGTACAAGGTCTGACTATGAATACGGGTCTCAGCATCAGGGAATCGATTCTGTATCTTGAAACAAGGTGAAAATTACAAAAGTGAGCAAATTTACTAGAATACTGATAATTTCATTGGTCAACATCTAGTAAATTTGCTCACTTTTGTAATTTTCACCTTGTTTGAAAATACAGAATCTACTCCCAGGTTAATCATGAGGTTTGTTCGTGTCACAAGATCCAACATGCTCCAACATGCTCCTACTATAGCTCCTACTCACTCTATCAAGCGCGGAGTGAGTAAGCTATGGTAGGAGCATATTGGAACGTGTTATGCGACGAGTATGCGACGCGAACAAACCTATGGTGGAATCAGAAAGGTGAAGCATTGCGCATAATGGGACAAAGAGGGGGCGATTTCGACCAATTAAACGCTATCGGCATTTCACTGTCTATTGCGTATCCTTCGGAATGCTTCACCTTTCTGGTTCCACCATAAGATTAATTGTGTTTGAGTATTTTGAAACGAAATGAAAATTATGAAAGTGTGCTTTACTGTTGATCAATAAAATTATAAATATTTTAGTAAATTCACATTTACTTTTGTAATGTTTATCTCGTCTCAAGATACACAATCGACTCTCAATTCAGAACTTTCTTTGAAACAAAATATAACCCCGGTCTGTGATTCTTTCCTGTAAATGACACTAAACAAATTAGATTTATTATTAATGGATTACCTATCCTTTTAAGAATACAATAGAATATTAATAAAGTAAATTCTGAGAAGACGCACAATTTGAAATGAATTATTTTATGCGCGAGCGACGTTTGTAACAACCTTCTTCGTGCAAATGTAGTTAGTCGAGAGTTTGTTTTGATTTTAATACCACTAATATGTTATATTATTGGCTATGTTCACACAATAAAAGCAACTATCGAGTATATCCAGGAGCGCAACCACTGGCTAAGTTTCCACCGAGGGTTAAAGTTGGGTCAAAGTACAAGAACTGACCAATCACAGTCGAATATTCCCCTGTCATAGTCGAATGACAGGGGAATGCTTGACTGTAGTTGGTCAGTTCTTGTACTCTGACCCAACTCTAACCCTCGATGGAAACTTAGCCATTGATGCATCCAGAAGCGCAAAGCGCTCAATGAGCTCTTGTATCTGATTGGCATATTCCAATAGAACTAAAAATATAGACCAAACAGATATAGGCTGCGGTCCACTTGACCCTACAAACGCTTCGAAGTATTCTTTGATTAGTCAATTCGTAAAATTCTTTGTTCTGATTGGTCGCTCAAACGCTTCGAAACGTTTGTAGCGTCAAGTGGACCGCAGCTATAAGAGCTCACTGAGCGCTCAGTGAGCGGTCGTGGTATTGAATGCACCCATTAGGCTCTTAGTAATCCGTTGAGTTATTGGTGGATGTTCCCTTTATAAAATTCTTTAATTGTAATGATTGGTTTTTTTTTGCCCTTAATTCCTCATGGACCTAAATGTATAAATGTAATATTATATTATTAATTTATTGCTTATTATGATGTAATATATTTCTATAATAATCATTTTTATTGATGTTATTTAAGTAATGTCACTTGCAATAATTGAAAATTTGATATTAGATAATATTTATAACAAGATATCAAATTTTTTGTCAATACTGTTGTAGGAATTATCATAAAATGGAGTTGCGTTTACAAATGATAACTTTCATAATTTTGTTTTGCAGACAAATGTATGGCCCAGGATATCAAGGTGTGCCGCATCAAGGACAGATGTTTAACTATTATCACATGATGCCAGGATATGGCCAGACTTTTAATCCTCAACAGATGCAGCAGCATCAACAACAGCAGCAGCAACCGCAGCAACAGCAGCAGCAGCAGCCGCAACAGCAGCAGCAGCAGCAACAGCAGCAACAGGGAAACAATCAGACAAAGCAACAGTTACATCAACAACCTCCTATACCTGGTACTCCGATGCCTCTAGATGATGAATCTGATCTTCCACCGTTGCCGCCCGGTCCACCGCCAACAACTCCATCAACTCAACAACATAACAATCACATGCAACAACAGCAGATGACTTCTTATTCAGGATTGATGTACAATTCGTTTCCCTATGGTAACTGGAATGGAATGCATAACAATACTTCTCGTAAGAGTTTCATTATATTTTTTAATGATAAATAGAGATGGGTAAAGAAATTGCAGCAAAATTGATCACGTTTTTAAATGATTTTAATAAAAGTATATTGTTTCAGTCTTATATATGTACAAATAATATACCAATTTTAATAGTAAAAATAATTGGGGTTGTATGGGTTTTAAAAAAAAAAAAATATTTTGAAAATTTCGATACATAATAATCATATAAGATAATGTGTGTGAATTATAGAATAGATATAATATATATATATATCCAGCATATTATATATACTAGACAATGGTTTATGTTGGCCTTGTATGCGAGACAAAGGGGAAATACCCAACTCGGGTCTCTCTTCCTCTAACAAAGATTATTCTTTATCTTTAGAGAGAGAAGAGAGACTTGTTGTGTTTTTCTCTCTCTCGCACGCGAAGGCCAGATATCGCGTGTCATGTTTCGTTTATTTACACTATACTTTATGAGTTCTAGAATATTGTTCTATTGTTCTTTATCTTGAAAGTTTGCTTCTATCGTCATGTAATGTAACTCGTCAATATTTACTGTTATCGTCAGGTACGCTTCGCCCATCTCTATGACGTATAATTTGAACATATAGCTCTGAAAGTACTAATTCTTTACAGAGTATAATGGTCAGACTATCCGTTTCAATTTACCAAACAAAAAAACGGGTCTTGGATACGTGCCGTCCGGGAATAGCGGCGCCGCGAAGAGAAAACGTAAGCGGAACAAAAATTTAGCAGCTCAATTCAACAATAGCTTTCAGGGAAATGCTCCGATTGGTCCCTTCATGCCTAACGGACCGAATGCAAAACCTGCGGAACTACCACCGTTACCTCCCGCGCAATGCGAAGTGGCAGTCCCTCCGCCGCCAAGTGAGGAGCCTCCTAATTCTGTCGTGCCGATCACCACGGTTTCCAGCAATGCGGTCCCCACTACTGGCACTATTCCCTCCGTCGTTCAAAGTCCGGTCGGGGATTGGCCCGACAGTCTGAAGAATTATGTAAACCGATGCTACGAGAAATGTAAAACGGCAGTCGATAAAGATCAAGTCGAAATCATACTGAAGGGCAAGATCACACGCGCCGCGAATGACGGCTCGCTCTGGGTGAAGGACTGGGATAAGGAGCCTCTGCCCAGCATCCACAGCGAACGTATGACCATGACGATTAAACCTTCGAAGCCGGCGTTAAAGCTGGCGAATCCTCTGGCGAGCCCACTGGTCAATGCACAGGGAGGCCTGCGCAAGCCCGGCCTTTCCAGCTCACTCGGGGCTCGGCTTGGCGCGCGTCTCTCTGTGACACACAGCAGGCGGTCGAGGACGAAGTCGAAGTCGAGGTCAAGATCAAGATCCAAATCAAGGTCGCGATCCCGTTCGCGATCGCGATCGCGGTCACGTTCGAGGTCGAGATCAACGCGTTCGCGCACACGTAGCCCGCCGTCGCGCAGGTACAACAACAGGCGCAGCACGTCCTCGTCGTCGAACATTAGCGAACGGGAGCACGAGTACAAGGCCCCTAAAACGAAAAAGTCCGCGCGCAACAAGGCGAATCACAACAAGAAGTCCAAGAAGAATAAGCAGGCTAAATCGCATTTCTATTCCGAATTTGGTTTAGCTACAGGCAACACGGACGAGCTGGGAACCAAGGAGAAGCTACAGCAGCGCGCTGCCAGATTCAACGGCGGTGTTTCCAGGACGGTTGTTAGCAGCGTCGTTATTAGAGATGACTCGAACACGGACTTCGATTTTACCGGACTCCACATCGTCGGTACGTGCAAGGATCTAGAGAAGCCCTACTTGCGTCTCACAACGGTACGTGGATATTCAAAATTATTTACTTTCATCTACAGTTAATGAAACATTAAATGTTTTACTACAGCTGGAATTTAGTTGCACATTTCGGTCGATTTTCAGCTTGGTTTTCCGCGCGGGTTGGTGAAAGCAAGAATCAAGCTGAAAATCGGCCGAAATGTGCAACTAAATCCCAGCTGTTTTACTATGAATTAGGGGTGTTTTATTTGGCGCTTACAACACTCACGAGTATTGTATTTGAGTATTATTTGTCCTTGTTTAACAATTAGTAAACAATAAATATGAAATGATTCCGAGAGCGTTGTAAGCGTTAAGTGGAACGCAGTCTAGATAAAATCAATTATGCCGCAGTCGTGATATAATCACGTATTTTTTGACGAAATTATATAATATTATTACAGGCTCCTGCCCCTTCTGCAGTTCGACCGGTAAGTGTACTTGAAAATTCTTTGGCCCATGTTAAGAAACGTTGGCTGGCCGACCAGGACTACAGATATGCTTGTGACCAATTAAAATCCATCCGGCAAGATCTTACCGTGCAAGGTATCAGGGACGCGTTTACAGTTCATGTATATGAAACCCACGCTCGTGTAGCTTTAGAACGCGGTGATCACGAGGAATTTAATCAGTGTCAGACACAGCTAAAAATGCTTTATCAAGATCTTGGTGGCGAGAATCGATGCGAATTCATTGCGTATCGGATTCTCTATTACATTTTCACAAAAAATACTCAAGGTTGGTAACGAAGTTAACAGACGATTCACAAATATTTCCTGAGATCAAGAATCGCATAAAAATATTCTGTAATATTTTCAATTTCAGACTTAACGACAATTTTAGCAGCACTTTCGTCAGAGGATAAAAATGATGAGTGCATAAAACACGCGTTGAAAATACGATCGGCTTGGTGGTTGGGTAACTTCCATGCTTTTTTCAAACTGTATAGGACAGCTCCGCGTATGTCTGCCTTCTTGATGGATTGGTTTGTCGCTAGAGAGCGCAAGAAGGCATTGAAATTCATGATAAAGTCGTACGTATTAAACCTTATTTCTATATACTGTTATTATTATCTATATATGTAATTATTTTTGTATTTTTCACTGAATAGGATTGTATACTTTATATGTTGATAAAGGTAATTTGTATTTAAACTGACTTTAATTTTGCTCTCAAATTTTTTTAAATTCAATTGTGTTTAATGATAATAAATAGAATCGTAACGTAATTATATCATTTCATTAAAATAGTACAATAGAAAGTATACAATCTCTTAACTGATTTTCTAAACAGAAGTTTTCTAAACAGAAGATTTGGAGAACAGCTTGTTTGTATCAACGCTATGTTTTAACAAATGATATCTATGAAGAAACATGGACCACATGAACTATAATTGCAGATTTCTGTTACAGGACATCGTAGCTGAAAGTTAATTGCATATTTAATTGTTTTTTTTCTGTTTTATGTATTCACTATCATGTCACCATATATGCGGCTATTATCTAACTTTGCATTTCTTCTGCTGTTTAGCTACCGGCAAAATTTGGCGGTTCATTTCGTCGTAGCAGAATTGGCCTTTGATTCTTTGGACAAGTTTTATGAATTTGTCAGCGAGTTCGGCTTGGTTTACGCTGATCTCGCTCGACAGCAAATCGACTGCAAGGCAAGCAGTGGTAGTCTAGGTGGTTGGTAGAAGGCAACGCCACTCTACTGTCCTACCTTTACCCCTTGTGGCGGAAGATATTTTAACATGTGAAAAAGATGGGCCACACACACATTCTCATGCATACATACACATACATACACACACGCGTACCATGCATAAATCTCACGTGTGTCGTATTACGTGTATATGCATATGTTTCCGGCATATGTGCGCTTGTGTGACTCATATGCATATATACAAATATTTAGATAGATATTCCATTTCGCTGGGGTACACATCGGTTCCGTAAATTTTCCTCGCCCTGTGTGCTGGCTCTATCTCTCGCAAACGATCTTCAAATCATCGTCCCACGGCGGTGGCGGAATTTCATCACCGTCGGGCGCAAAAATCGAAAGTTTGGGACTTCGACTGTGAATTTGTACATACACGCTCCCTCGTTCAGTTCCCCCGCGCGCAATTGTACATAATCTCAAGAGGACATTGATGCGGATCTCTCACCGGGGGCTCCTGGAAATTGTACAAAAATCGGGATGGATGATCGTTTCCGTTCACATTCGGCGCTACCTCACTAAAATGATTAGATGAGAAAAAAGCTCGGTATATAACGTCAAGGATCATACTCACAACGCAAACGGTACAGTCTGCGGTCTTCGCAATAGGAAAAAAAAGCCCATCTTTCGTTCGTTATCGACTCGGGACGATTCGTCGACAAGACGACTGCTCTCTCCTTTTCAATCATTCGTAGCGTGATGCGCACGCACGCTTCACTGCTTCGATCGATTTTCCAAATAATTCTTTTAAGTATTAACTACACGCAAAACAACCCAACCGAGCCGCAACGCAAGCTAGCTCTCTCCCTTTGAAGAAGGGTATACTTCAAAGAGAACGCGGATAAGGATTTTATTTCACGAATTCGGAGACACGAGTCGCGCTTGAGATTCGTGCTCGAGAGCCGCTCTTCTCAGAACAGAGCGTTCCTAATCCGCGATAAAGTGTCATTTCCCGGACAAGCCCGAAGAAAATCGGTAAAAATCGGACAGAGGGAAGAAGGAAGAAGAAATGGCAGAATTGTTTCTCCCGGAATATCGGTGGATGGGACTGTTTGTCGAAGATGTCTGGGTTTGGGGATGAAGACAGAAGAACGAAGATAAGGAGAGGACCATACCTCGCGCGAGACGAATGGCGTATCACCATCGGTTCCTTTCGTCGTGTGCCGAGTGATTTTATAATTAATTTTAACAAGTGTCCATGCGCCGTGCGCGGTGCGACGATGCTCCTTTCGACGTTAGAGTCGTCCTATTCTCGTTGGATTCTCTCTAGGTGGTCGACCCTCTTGGTTTTCCTTCGCATTCGTGCGCGCACGCACGCTCATATGCTCGCGCGCGCGCGCATGGAATGTGCACCAGCCGCATTACACGGATTCGGAAAGGGAAAATGACTCATTGTATCATACTTGATCCGAATACGATGTTGTGCATAATAAATTATTTAATTTTCTGACGTTGTACCTTATTTTTTTGTCTCGTTTGTCGTACTATAAACCTAGCGCACTTTAGAGGAGATATAGATTGCGACTTGTTTTGCCTCGACTTCGCCTCGACGATGCTTCGTTTAATAATAAATACCACGGTCGACGGGTTTCTTGATGTCCGCAATTGCAAATTGCGACTGACATTTACGTTGTCGTTGCTAATTATGTATATATCTATATATGTACCGATTCGCCATCGGTAGATAAAATATAATTTAAATGTTAAATAATTTAACAATCCATGAGACAATATAGAACATTTAAAATATATAACAGTAAACGAGAAAATGTCGTTTTCAACGCCGATCCTCTCGCTGCTGGATAATATTTACGGCTCCTGGCTCGTTACTGTATAATTATATCGGATTACATCAGAAATGAAAATTTATTACATATACTTTACATTTACACAATACTTACAATATATTTGCAGTGAAAGAACCCAGCTTTTTACATATCACTACTTGTATTCGACAGAATAGACTTGTGAAATTCATTGAAGATTTCGATTCGCAAAATAAAAGCTGCTAAGTTTAATCGAATGTTGTGAGATTTACATTCAAAATTAAAAATAAGTGTAGACAGAATTATTTATCATGAATGCAAAATGCATAAAAAGAGACTTGGGTGTACTTCACTAATTTACCCTATCGAACAAAAGCGAGACAATATAATTTTTCACTTCTGATGTAATAGAAGCCTTAAAATGGCTTTCGAATAATTTAACGTGGTTCGATCACGAATTCGCGCAATAATATGAGCTTAATGAGCGCCTGCATTTTCGACGTAGACCTCGGGATGCGATTATAAACCACGTTGGGATACACGTATCGGTTTCGATTAAAGATCTCTACAATGCACGCGAGATGCACGCAACGTGCCATTAACCGGATTAACTCGTTAGCGTCTTCAAACAAGAAGGAACATGATCTTATTAGAATCTGTTCTCTAATTCATACTGTTAGTATCCGGTATCATTTGTGATTTTTTTCAGATTCTTTTGTAAATTTTGTTTTTAAAATTAGATTCTTAGCTTCTCGAAAGAGATAGATTAATAATTTCTCGTGCACGAGAATCTTATACGAGTAGGAACAGATCGCGCGGAAGAGATCAACGTCAATATGAATTCGCATGCGCGTCGGCATCGAGTCGCGAGCTACACAGTGCGTAAATAGCCTTACGGTAAATATATTAACAGCGTCTCTCTAAAGATTCCGTTTGTGTTTTTTTGTGTGTATGGCGTGTACACATCTGATTGATAGCTGACGTAATACATTAATTCACTTACATATAAATATTAATCAAATAAAAAAAGATTTAACTATGGTACGACGAAATAACGTAGCCCTCGGTGGAAAATGAAGTCGGGGATGATCGGCAGCGCTGCCTGCGATGACGAGATTGGAGTTAGGAAGAGGAGGGAGGATGCGGAGAGACCGAGTCCGTTTATACGGAGAGGGACACGAAGCTGTTATACTGGGTGATGTTACGTTTCAGAATATCGGCGCACGGACCTAAGACCCGCTCGAACCGTGCCCGATCCAGTTTCACACACTTCAACGGACCCCTAGCCACTACGGTTGCCGCTCGGGGCCTGTCTAGCAGTAGCGCTATTTCTCCTGTAACAAAAAGTTCACGTTATTTCAAAGATCCTCTTTTGCATAAAATTGATTACACCACAATTTTGCATAAAAATTAATAAGTTTAGTAGTTAATTGAATAGCAGAATTAGATTAAAGCTCCTGTTCACTCGTCACTACTATTGCAGATTATGACTAACGTCAGAAGAAAGAAAATACGTAATAAAAATTCTTGCAAAATATTTTAATATGAAAGTGTTTTATTACAACACAATTAATAGAACCGATTTGTAAAATATATCGAAAATTTTCCTTTCATTAATTAATAAATAACACATCTGGAAATAAATATTCAATGTGCATAATACAAAATGAAATGAGCTATGTTGACAACTATGGCAAATCGTTAAATTAATAGTTATCAGGATTGTTATTAAAGTGGTACAGGATACGATTTTCTACTTGCATCTAACGGATCTTGATGAATTAAAAATGACCCGATCTCTCGCAGCCTATTAAGGCCCAGTTTCACAACTCACAGTTAACTCTTAACCGAGGTTCAACTTGTTTCTCATCTCTTTCCAATTCTAAAATTAGAAAGACAATGAATAAGTTGAATCTCGGTTAAGAGTTAACCACGAGTTGTGGAACTGGGCCTAAGTCATTGTAATGACTCGCCGATCCGGCACTCTTCTGTTTGGAAATCGGCGCATATATTCTCGCACCACCTCCGTAGCATTACCGTCGCAGAAACCATACACGAAAATCATGTCAGCATATTCAACGTTAGAATATGTACGCGGCATATTGTGACAGAAGTAATGCATTTGATAGCTTCTGACGAGTAACTGACGAATTTATAGGAGAAAGGCAGAAATGTAAACAAACAAAGAAGTTTTCACCTGAAAACAGAATTATTATTATTGTTTTCGTGTACGATTTCAGCGACGATAATACTTCAGAGGCAGTGCAGCAACGAAACTACGTTTTATCTTTTTTGCGATTTTCTCTAAAACGAAACAAAAATGAAACAAAAACGAGCATATCCCTACAGGACTTTTTTCTTAGTTTATCGATTTTCTACACGCTCCCGAAGTTTAGACATAAATTCGGGACATCCTGTATAGCAATAAATATGATTTAATTTCTCCCAGAAACAAAAATAGTCTTCTGTATATTTTATAAGTCTATTTCGTTGATTGCAAATATTGTTTTATCGAAAAAATATTTCTTTTTATTGTTTTTTCGCTTCTGACGTCAATCTAAAATACAATAGTAGTGGTGAATGAATAGAAACCTTAAATATCAGAGAAAATCGTAAATTCTTATGTTTTTTTGGAATATTAGACATTATCTCGCTATGACAACTGTGTGTCCTCTTCATTATTTTGTAATCAAACTTTCCACGAAAATTCGTTATTAACTGTTTCGGATTTTATATATTACCGAAGTAATCCGATGGTCCTAAACGGCCGACCTCTGCGGGTTCGTCTCCTTCCGAGCGTTGTTGAAGGACCACCGCCGTACCCTCGACGATTATATAAAAATCTTCACCCGGTTCGCCCTGTCGGACTATCGTTTCACCGTCGTCGAACGCTACCGGTTCCAGAGCGTCTGCCACTGTAAGTCTTTCCCATTTATCCAAGGATTCTGCAAAGTGCATCGTAAATATCATTGATGGCCCTCTCCATTTTATCCTCCTATAATATTTTATCTCCATCTAACATCCTTAAAGATCTTATAAGGATTACTTTTACTATTTTAAGTCTGTAACAGAGTAAGAAGATTCTATTATCCTCGGAATTCTGAAGAAGAAATTCCGATTGATTTACACGCGCGTAAAATAGGATAAGTAATCCTCTCAGGGAATGAAGATTCCGAGCGAACTCACCCAGTATTGAAACTCTGGATAAGAACTCCTCGTACATTTTCCTTTTCCTTATAGTAGAGCCCATGAGAATTCTGCGGTAGGAGTCCCTGTCGATGCCCCAGAGCTTCACATCGGTCTTTGCTCTGACTGTGGCGGCGCGTGGAGTTCCGTAGATTAATGCGAGTTCGCCGAAGCTCCCACCCTCGCCAATCGTCGTCGCCAGCTCGCCATTGACGAATATTTCGACTTCTCCTTGATCGATCACGTAGAAATTGTCACCTTCGTCGCCTTGGAAAATATATGATGTTCATTTATTCCATGAATTAATGCGACAAACCAACGAGACGGAAGCACAAGACGATATGTTTGAGCAACACACACCTTGACGAATGATCGCCTCGCCAGGCAGAAAGGTCACGGGGAACATCGCATCGAATATGTCGGAGCGCTCGTTCTCGTCTAGGTGTGCAAACAGCACGTTCTTGGCGATGGCCTTGCTCAGGGCAGCCATGGTTTTGTAATCCTTAGGTACGACCTTCTTGACGTAACTGGTGGCATCCTCTTCGGAGACCGGCTCCGCTGAGATTCCGCCCCGCCGTCGTGGCACCTGCGGGCCCTGTTGTCCCGCAGGCATGTCTTCCGTATCCTCGGGACTCGTGGCGATCTGTTGTTTGGCATCGTGAGCCTGTTCCTGTAAATAAACGAGATAAAGTGTTACCTGAGATGATAGCGCGCACAATGAGATCTTTAACTAAAATATCGATGACTGCGTTTAGTAGAAAAAGCAGCTTTAACAAGATTTTAATATGATTAGTTTTATCTTTAGTTCCTCACTCAATATAAATGTATAAATTAATCATATTAAAGAATCTTACAACAGTTAGCTGCTTTTTCTATTGAAAGCAGCCAATATAATTATTACATTTTGTATACATCTATTTATTCCCATTTTTTTTGGTGTATCGAATCGATTTTTCAATCTCAACGGATTAATTCGACGAAAAGGGAATCTCCTCGCACATAATTAATACAGTCAATTAATACAGACGGAAAAAACAATATAGCATATTCTTACGAGAATCGGTTATCGATTGGCCTGATAAATAATGTAGAAGCCTGTCTTGGCATCGCAGAGTGCACAATAAATTAACACGTTTGCTAAAAACATTTAAAAATTTTCCACGTTGAATTTCAAGCATTTCCTTTTTAATTAATTTTTTACAACTAATTCCCGATTGAAAGTGTGCACTAACGTACACTTTCAACCAAGAATTAAAACAATTATCTCTGTCGATCCCCATCGACGAGGTTCACAGCGACGTGTTACGGTCATCATGTTGCTTGCATATTCGGGAGGAATACAAAATTGCTAAAAAAAAAGGGGAGGGACGCAAATTAATAATTCATTAACCACGCGCCTGACCCTCGTGGCCAGGCTTTTCGCCTCATCGCGTCTATCACGCATATAATTACGATGAAATTATAAATTATGTAGGTCTTTAGATAAAACCTCATGTTATCGTCGCTTATGTATACGATGCACGATGCACATCGCCGGGGTGAGAGAGGTAAGCGAATAATGCCATAGGTCAGTTGGCGTTTTCACGCACGAACGCGCCGTCTCTCTTCGTGGCGAGCCTCGTCGTGGTGCATCGTGCTAACGAGTATATTCAAATCAGCGCAATTCGCAATTCACTCTTTAATTGCCATGATAATATGCCGGCGCACGCTAACGTTACCCGCATACAAGGAGCCATCGCGATCACATCTATTTCGGGGTCTTACAAACCGACGAATACATCTGTAACGCGACATTTATACGTCTCATGAATCACACATAAATAAATTCAAGAAAGAGAAATATCTCTCCGTATGAATCGTGCGTATACTTTGATCTCGCTGGTGAAAATTGAGATACGGTGAGAAATTGTATCTGTTATCTAACCATTCGTGAGAAACACGGAAATGATGCTGGTACTCTGAGAAAAAAAATTGCAGGACGACACTAGAGATTCGGAGTGAAATCTTGCAATTAATCTATAAGATCTTCATTAAAACGTCATTTAGACGTTGATGCTTTTAATGGGAGACATTCAAGTTTCCATTTTAGAATAAGTTGTTCAATGACATCATCAGGTTTATGAATGGCAATTATCGATAGTGGGAGGGGATTTGATCGCGATTCACTAATGATCGCTCGATGTAACGCGGCTCCTAATGAACTCATAAAACTTGACCATCCGATAAATCCTCTGCGAAGACGCGTCTAGGCGCCCGACATGCGCCTCTTGTGCATTAAAAATAGAAGAGCAGAACTGCATTTATCGGAATTATCCAATAGATACGCCAGACGAAATCATATCCTTCAGAATCGCCGCGAATTCGATTACATCTGTTTACGTTTGAACGCAGTTTATGGACAATCTATAAATTAGCACGGGATCCTACCTACAATTCAACGCAAATTGCCAATATATAAATTATCAATTAAGCGGAAACAATAATATACGTCATAAACAATTGAAATTATAATTGCATGCAAAAGCACGTAGGTGTAATTAAACCGACTCTTGTATTCTTGTTTGCGAGACCATCGCGCGGCTTATTATCGCAGGCTGCATACGCTAATATAATAAAGATGTATTATGTCATTGCTATCGCAAACAACATACATAACTGAAACACTAGGCGAATCGCGGACGATAGTTAATAAATCTCTTTTACACACCACACATACCTGGCGCGCGCGCTTTCGGCCCACAAAAATAGAACACGTTCTAATTCCATGAATACAATTCCGCGATTCCGCAATTCCGTTTTGTGCGTTTTACATCCGAGGTGCAGAATTACGCGCGAAACTTTTCTCCCGTTTTTCTCCCACGAATTATCGACTTAAAATGAACTTCGGAAGAATTATGCAGTCAGATAATCGGAGTGAGAAACGCATGCGAGCGTGAACTGGATAAACTATGTGCATAACTATGTATAACTTATGTACACAACTATATATGACATGCCGTATTAGATTCCACTCAAAGTCATCAACGGAATCAACGAATAAACGTTATACTCTCTTATACAATCTCTCGTCAATGATGACATATATGTATGTATATAGTCGTCGGCTGCGGCCAGTAAATGCTGCACGCATACATTCTCACACGCACACACGTCTACATTCTTAGGGACACTCCCGACGTAAGAGAATCTCTCGTCATCTCGGCGCAAGTGTTTTTCAAGCTTATATCTTTTTCACAGAGTGGGGAAATACTTCAAGGATGACTAGAAAAATATATCTCTGAAAAAAGCTTGAACTAAAAAAAAATAAATGTGTTGAATAAATACATATGTAGGAATATTCTTGAAAATTCAATATGGAATATGAGTTATATAAAGAATTATAATTTATATTAATTATTCTGAGATAATGACCATAAGAATTCTTAAGTCAAATGTTTGACTGATCGATAATATTGAACATTTTTCATATTGATCTTAAAAGACTTTAAGATTCCTCTTGAAAGTATCCTGGTTTTTTTTCATTCTGTTGGAAGATGACGTAAAAAGACTGAGTAAATGCCATACTACTCTTAGAAAATTACTTTTCGTTGAAGAAGGCTTCTCGTGCCAACGCGAGTGGCATGGTAAGACTATAGTTGCCATTTACGAGAATCTTTCGTGCCATATAAGAGACGATATCAAATAAGAGTAAAAAGTATCTGTCGTAATTTTTCTAATAAAAAGAATAGCCTTCCCTGATATATTTACTGTTTACGCCTGTAACTTTTAATGTCAAGCCTTCTTCCTTTAATAATTGCGGTCAATCATTTTTTCTTAGAAATATAAAGCCAATGAGTTTGCTGAAGTCACATAACTCTTACAAAATACATAATTAGAAATTCAAAATTAGAAAGCCTTCTTTCTTTAACAATAATTAGAAAACTTTTTTTCCTCTAATAATAATTGCACGGTCATATAAATTTTTCCTAGAAACACAAATCCAACGAGTTCGTTGAAGTTACACAACTCTGGAGAAATAATAACATATTATTAGAGATTCAGAATTAGAAAGATAAGAAAGAGGAAAGAAGTTCACCGACGATTATATGATCGACTTCTTGGAAGTTACAAATCTTTTAATCGGAAAAGCTCTTTCACGTGGCGATTCTTTTCTTTCCATTCCACTTTGACATTTCACTTTCAATTTGCAGAAAAATCGTAAGATCGCTAACTTCTTTCGAGAAACGAAAAACGAAAAGGAACGTAGAATCTTAAAACGCAAAACTCCGTCGATGATTAACATTGATCTATCGATCAAGATCAATTACACGCGCGCGTAACTTGGTCGCGATTATGAGCGACGCACTCGTTCCTCCTCTTTTTCTCGTACCTTATTCATCATTTCTCTCGATCCTCCTCCTTTTCCTTCGCTCTCCTTCTCTCCGTCTGCCCCCGTGTTCTTCTGCTTTCCGCGGACGCGTTAACACTTATGAAACAACCGCTTTTCGCGGCAGCGTGTCGTAGGTCGGCGATCTCGCGGGTTCTCGCGACCGCACGGGAAAGGAGATTGTCTCCGTCGCCGTCACCGCTACCGCCGTCGTCCCGTCGTCGAACACGCGATCTCGCGTCTCCGTCGTCGTCCGCCTTCTCTTCCTCTTCTTCTTCTCTCGCACGCTTCGCGATTTTATAAGGCCTCGGACGGAATCCAATTAGAGGTCAGAGGAGATCTAGCACGCGCGCGCGTCTGTGCGTCCGTCGGCGCGACAGCGTCGGTATGCGTACTGCTGTTGCTGCTGATGCTCGTTTGACCGCTCGCCGCCGTACTCGGCGCCTGCCCGACGGTTCCTGGACGGGACGGATATGCCGCCGAGATGCTGTCTCGTGGTAGTCGGTAAGTAAGGTCTTCCGCTCGCGTTAACGCGCGAACGTAAGCGGCTCCAGTGGGATCGATCCGCAGTGGTGGTGGAGGCGGCGGCGGCAATGATGACGGCATTTTTCAAGACCTCGGCTCGTAAACCTGAGACTCGTAATACTTGGACTCGTGTGGGAAATATGTTTCAGTGACACCGTTATACTTTCCGTTACTTCGCGTCCCACTGCGTATAAAAGTTTTTATCAACGCCATAGTTGGAGCCGTTAGTGAAAGAGCCTGAAGATTAGACATTAATTTCGTAAATGAGTTGAAATAATTAAAAAACCCGTCGATTTTATTTATTAACGATTACCTTTGTTATTCTTACTTTTTAATTATCTTTAGTAACCTTTGTATTACCTTGCGTATAAATTATTATACATTCTACTATTAAATTTGTATTTATTCACAGCGCTTAGAGATACCATCCTAAAGCGCTCGATAAATAACAATTTATCTATAATTATTTCAGTATTTTATCTTCCTTTTCCGTTCTCCTGTTACTTTATACATTGTATTTATTTCGTGTTATCGAATGTTATATTAATATCGCCCTCGTCTCTCCACTGGCTTTCCTTTCGTTGCTACCTACGTGAATTTTCATCTCTTGTCCTCCGAGTGTTCAGGAGTTTGCTGCGCAATGTTGCCGACGTTGTTGTCAAATGGAGGCAGTTGAATATTTTATTGTCATAAATTCGAGCGCCACGACGCCACCGCCGTTCCTGGCTGATGACGTCGGAAGAAAATCGGCGCCGAGACGCGCAGGAAGAGGACACTCT